GAGGAGTCTGTTAAGTGTTTTGTTTATTTCTTAACTGGGTGTAAGAAGTTACGTGCTCTGATCAATATTTATGAATTTGGTAGTTTGCAATTTCTGGACAAGACATTCAGTGTTGGGTGGTGAGAGCAAAGATCTCAGGAATGAGTGGAATTCAACTTTGAGTCACCAATTTGCTGTCTGGAAGTAAAAAAAAGAAACCTAATTGTGCATATAGCTTGCTATGAGATTATTATAGTTTGATGCTTTAAATCCTTTTCTAGATTTTTTTTTTTTTTTTTTTTTTTATTGAGTGGACTTAATGGATTAATTCATTTGGTACCCCCAGGCAAAAAAATGAAAATACAAAAAAGGAATAGTAAAGGGGCAGGTACTCTGCATGTGGTTTTAAGGTGAATTACCATAGTGCCAAAATCTGTGTTTATTATAGAACATTAACATTATGAGAGCAAAAATAGATAGCAAAGAAAGCTTAGGTATGATCACTTCATGTTCAGGATATAATAAAGTCCAGCCAAACTGTTAAATTAAAGGTTTAGTTATGAGAACATATGAGATCTGGGCACCAATACCAGCGGAAAAGGCCTTGACTCTGTATAAGCACAGCTCAGCAGTAACTAAAACATCCCTGTGTTATCAATGCTGTTTTCAGCACAAACCCAAAACATAGTCTGGTAGTAGCTTCTATGAAGGAAATGAACTACCCCAACCAAAACCAGCGCAGTGACCTAAACAGTTACTCTATAAATCAACATTTCGATTACGTAGCCCTGTGTGCTCTTACATTCCTGGAGACAACCAAGTTTTTTTCTTGCAGGCTGTTACAGGTATGTGCTGATTTACTGAATGTTTCTTCTAAGTTGGTTAGATTCAGGACTGTCCAATGTTCTCAATATTCAGCACATTATTTCTTACTATAACCAGATGAAAATGATGCCCATACCACTTCCCATTTATCTGCGGGCTCTTCCAACAACAGATATTCAGTGGGCAAGCCAGGCACATATTCCAGACACACAGTGCAGTGAAACTGAGGTCTGGGCCTGTAGATCTGTCTTTTAAGTTTAGAGAGTTTCCAATTCTTTCACACTTGTGTGGCTGGCCACAGAATCATGCCCAAGTTAAGTTTTATATAATCGCTACCTTTTTGCCTCAACTTTCCATTCTAAATTCATTGTTTCAGTTCAAAAGCTTTATACTGTTTTCTAAAGTCAGTTTAGGTATTTTTATTCCTAATAGATAACCATTCCCCAGATTAAACCAATTTACTCAAAATTAGAAAATCAATGGAAGCGAATGAACATGCCTGCTTTTCCTAGTATCTTCTAAAGGTCACTGGTGATTCATGAAATAATGATGCTGTCTCCATACAAGGAGTCTGGCCTCAATCGAACAGGTATTATGGCTGGGTAGTATATCCTGAAAGCAAGATCTGAATTCCTCATGGTTTTTAATAATAGTTGATTCAATACCTTTACTTTGAAGGTGACGTGGCAAGCTGCAGTCTTGTTGAAACTGCAAAGTAATTGTTGTTGTTGCTGCAAATGCTGTATGTTTTATGAGCCAAAATGTAGGGCTGTGTAAAATTTTAACACTAAACCCAGGCATTATCTGCAGTTGAATTCCAGTCTAATATTGTCTTGTCAGGTGAAACCTTTTGGAAAAAGTATGTCTGCCATTTTTTCATAAGATGCTCTGTGTTGTGCTCTCTGTCATCTTTGTGGGTTCAGCCTCTTCTCCCCATTCCTGCTTACGTATGTCTTGTATAGAAACTGGTAGTCATGCTTCATCTCTGGAGTTAGCTATTCATGGCCAAAGATGTATAACTTCTATTTTTAACTGTAATAGCAGCTTTTAGGGACAAGTGGCCTAATGGTCCTATTCTGAACAATTCTTGGTACCTGCATGATCTTGATACTATATAAATACCTCTTATGTATCTCTATATGGCTCATGAAATTGAATTATTGTAAAAGAATTGTCTGCCTCGGGTAGAGAGAGATGGGAGTAATATTTGGAGGGAGAAATGTCTGTTCTAGATACTGCTTAAAGAATTAGGAATCTGCTTATCACCAGGCTGGAAGAAGTGACCTTAGAGATGCTGGAAAGTTGGTGGGCAGGAGGGAGTACTATTTGCCACTCCTCTGTAGGATATCAGCTGATATTATTGCCTCGTTGTTATTATATTTTCTCTGGTGAACCTTTGTAGATCTTAAATGTTTTGGTTATTTATCACAATCTTCTATGAAGTGCATTGTCGAAACATGACACAAAGAAATGGTCTTTCCCCTGAAAGCCTTGCTAGCAGGTGTGTAATATCAGAGGGCAGAAAATGTAGATAGATGCATTGAATGATGGTTGGACAAAGACCGCATGAAACAGTGTTTGTGAACAGAAGAGAGGAATGCTTTATCCCCTCTGTTCTTACCCTTCTTTTGGTGGCATCTCAGGGGAAAATGTGTTATAATACATGTGCATAGGGAACAGCAAGGTTTTTTGTTAATGTTTTCCATTGCTTGAAAAAAGAATGGATGTTGAACAACTCAGCTGATCCTTTTTGATGACTGGGATTTGAGTCAGCGCTAGTTGCAGGTAACAGGGTGTAGCTCATGAAGGTACACACAGTATTTGGGGATGTGGGGGGTGCATTTCTACTGGCGCATTCCACAGCTCCAGAAACTGCAAAAATTGCTCCTGATGAATCTGATTATTTGTGACTGCCAATTCAAACCAGCAGTTTCTCCTTGATTTTACTTAAACTTTAAATTGGGTCAATTGCCTGTCATTTGCTAGCTCTTTATTTTCTACTTGAATCTTAAAAATGAGTACCAGACAAAAATGGATTATTCTTAGTTGTTCCTTGTAGGTGTACTGTTTAGAACTGTATTAGCCCTAGACTTAAGAAGTTGAATTAAAGCAAAAATTTCTCTAGGATGGACATTGAGAAGGAAGAAAGCTATTTCTCATTAATCATACCTACATGCACCAGAGGTTGATATGAACTCTTTTAAAGCATGTTAAAACACTGATTAAAATTACATATATTTTCCATATTTTTTAGTGAGTTTTACCACTGCTTGGATCTTGATGCTTTTGGGAAACTTTCCATTTCATTTAAGAAAAATTAACAGTATATAAATTGTTTGTGGGTTTGTTTTGGTTATGTTTTGTTTTGGTTTTTTTAGTTTTGTTTTGGTTTTTTTTTAATTTTAAGTATAATTTATTTCCTGTATGTACATCAGCGGGAACAGGAGACTGGGAGTATTGCCCAGTGGGAGATACAAAGCAGCTGGCAGATTTTGCACATGCTCTGTAGACCATATTATTTTTCCATGCTTAAATGTTTTCAGAAAAGTTGCTGTGGCACAGTGTCAGAAAGACTTGTTTCAGTGCAAGGAATCAAAACACAGGTATTTACCCTGAAGTAAAATAAATTCTGGACATCTAGAGAGGTCAGTTTTTATATCCAATTGCATATATGTGGGAGAATCTTAGTATGCATAAGTAAATATCCAGGTTAATAATTTTGAGATGAAAATCAAATCAAACTTTTTTTTTTCTGGTAATACTTCAGAATTAAATGTAAATTCTAAGCAGACACTTTTAAAATAAAACAAAACTTAGAAGAATGGAAAAAAGAAAAAAATTAACTTGTTTCTGGTAAGCCTTAACTCTGCATCTACTTGTTATTTTAGCTACACAGGATCAGCTCAAAATGAAGACAATTTTGTTAAATTCCTACAAGCCTTCAAAATTTCTTTTTCTTTGTCTGGCATTTATTAGGTCTCTTGGTAAACTGAGAGTATGGAGATGGGAATGGTCCCTGGCACATTAGGTGACCTCTCCTTTGAAGGCTATTCCAAAGCTCTTTGGTGCATAAGGCAGCAGAAGGAATGTGTAATATGAAAGGCGTCACTCTCTCCTTAAGATTGTTTTCTTTCTTGCACTATCTCAAAACAGAACGGTTGTTTTGGGTCTTTTCTTTGAGTTGCACATCCACTTTCAGATCCCCAACCTAGCTATTTCATTTTTTTAACTGTGGTAGTAATCGAATGAGTGTTTGATTTAGCACAGATGGGGGACAGTGTGTGCTTCAGAGCTATTTCCATAGCATAGTATCACCTCCAAAAGCAGTAAGCAAAAGAGTCATTCTCTCCCGTATGCAGAAAAAGTGTATGTATGAATCCCACAGATTACGTCCAGCAAGCTGCTGAGTGCTTTTGATTTCTATTGACATCTGCTGAGGGAAGCTGAGTGCTTCCTGCCTCCAAGGAAAGACTTAGCACCATGCAGGATTTGTATGGGCTGAATCTACCAGTGTATTTTTACTTATAAATTTTTCAGATTCAGGATTGTTTCCAAAAGTGCATGATCCTCAGGGTTTGCAGCAAAACTCAGATAATTTCTCAAACAACATCCGTTTTCATTTTCAGAAGGCAGGTAAGGACACATTTTTGAGGATTAATGTGCTTTTTTTTCTTGTGGGAGTCAGGCATCCTTGAATGTGTCACCAATAAAGATTGAAGTGTGTTACGGGGCAAATTATACCTCCAGATATCCATTGGAGAATACATTTTGATTCACAAATTCAGAGAAGAAGGATGCCCTCCGTCAAAATGTATGGTCTAAATGACCCAAAATAGAGCAGAAGTGGGTGGGGAAGAAGAAAAAAAACGGGGAAGAAGAAGAAAAAAAAAAAAAAGAGGAAAGAAACCTTGAGGAAATGTCCTCAGTTTTGTGTTTCAGGGATGGAGAGTCCATTTCAAAATGACACTTCCCTGCAGTGAAATAAAAATTATGCTCCTCATGTGCATAGGAGGAGAAAACGCCTGTACTCTTGTAGAATCAACTCTTAAATTTCCTTTATGGATCAGTAATCAGTTTTTCT